TGACAGTAGGAGGGTGGCCCTGGTGGTCTGCAGGAATTAGGGCTGGGTGCTGTGTTTTGCGCTGGGCGCCATAGCCGGCGGTGTAGTGGACGATCCTGGATGGAGGAGGAGGAAGGCTCCAAAAGCTTGATGAAGCTATGATCTGACTCTTCTGAGTTCATTCACAGTGGTTTACTCCCTGTTGAGATTCTCGGGTTCATTGTGATTCTAATTGAGCTACTAGCTGAGGAGTGGCGGGCGATTATTATGAATTGATAATGCTCACTTCTTCTTGATGGCTGCACTTTCGCTGTGCAATGTGTCATTTGGTTTGGTGCGAATTCCCTCTTCAGTTCAAATCTGCTTTGACAAATCTGCTTTGACACCATGGCATGTATATGTGGACATGTTGCCACGGAAAATGAGTGTCAAAGCAGATTTGACACCGGAACTTCTTGATGCTCTGTTGGATGCCCGTTTCAATCAGTCAGAGAACATCAAGGTGCTTTGTGTTTTGGGGAAAATGAGTGTTTTGGCGAAAATGACACGCAATCATCTTTACGGTGTTTACGCTGAGCTCATACAACCACTTTCAAAATCAAAAGCATACGGTTATTTGCAGGGGCTAGGAGAAAAGGATCGGTTGGTGTGATGTTAGGATTGTGAATGACAAACGTGCGAAAGCGAAATGACAGAGTAAAACACAAAGCATTGGTGCTGCTTCCTAAATACACTACACCCCGCCCAATCTATCACATTATTCCGCATCACCTGCACCGACTACCTTCTTCACCCGATGGAAACTTATGGTCATTATTGGTGGATGTAGACTGACAGAGACCCCAAAAACAGCTATAACGATTGTACTAAAAGGGCCTTTACTCGATATAGGCCTCAGGCCTTGTAAAAATAGAGCAGCACGGGCCTTGTAAAAGTAAAGCATTGTGAAAAGGTATCTTGCCAGGGCTCAGAAACGTGAAAACAGGTCAAAAGTCAAGTTCTCTATCAACAGGCACATCTAAATCTAAGGCAAAGGGCATTGTCAAAAGACTTACCTGTTCACCAGGAGATGTGTATGTCATGTCTGTTCGAGTAAGGGTGTGTCTGTACGTGTAGGCAGTGTACCTGTTCGTGCAATGGAAAGTGCCTGTTCAAGTAGTAAATGTGTCTGTTCGTTTAGAGTTGTGCCTGTCCGAAAGTGAAGTCAGTAGGCACAGTCCCAGTTCTGGTCTAAGTCAAGGGGTCAGTCCAGATCCAGACTTTCAAGTCCAAATCCAGGCCGAAGTGCCTCAGCAGCAGTTGAATCTCATTGGGACTGTACTGGGACACATGCAATGCAGGGTCTGGGACAAAGGGAGAGGCTGAATTGAGCCAATGCAGACCCAGCGAGGAGTGGCCAGCACTATAAAAAGAGCTGCCTGCCTCATTCCTCGCCAGATCTCCACTGGCTGCAATGCGTGGAAGTGCTGGTGCACTTGTGCGCTGAGTCAGGAGGAGCAGCGCTGGAGGAGAAGACGCGCTGGAGGGAGGAAGATGCCTGTACGCTGGAAGTGATGCAGCCATAGCTGCCCAGCGAGTTAGCATTAGTAGTAGAGGGTTAGTATGTAGCTATGAGTAGTATCCAGAGTAGATCCTCATGAGTATTGAAGAGTGTGTATGCATCACAGGAGGAAGGGATTGAGGCTGAGAGTGTTCATTCAAGGTTGGCTATGGAAGATACTTACCTGAGTTGGATGTGACCTGCAGAGGTGGCGCTGATGAGTGGTGACCACATTGATGACTTGGAGACTATCTGCAGGGGTAGCACTGATTCACTGGAAGGCATATTGATGAGTTGGCAAGATATTGGTGTTGCGCTGATGAGCGCTGGACTCAGGGGAACTTTGAAACACTTTGTATTCATATTTCTGATAATATAAACTGTGAAACTCGGTCCTCATCTTCTCTATCTTTGTCTATTGTCAGACTACTGTTCATTGTGTGTGGGAGTACGATGCATGGCATGTACACACTTGCGTGAGATGGTCCCCAGGACCCATGCAGTACGTTGTACTTGGGTAAACAAGGTAGGCTAAGGGGGGATGTTATATGCTTGGGTTATGCGCAATCCGATTCCTAAGCCGTACAGCATGATGTACTGCCCTTAGTTAGACTGCCATAGATATATGTAAAGGCTGGTGCAACTTTCTAGCTACTGACTATGAAGCAATTTATGCTGCCTCTGCCTTATGCAACTTCCCAAGTATCAATTACATAAAGCCTGGTAAAAAAAAAAAAAAAAAAAAAAAAAAAAAAAAAAAAAAAAAAAAAACCCTTTAAAAAAAAAAGAAAGAAAGAAAAAAAAAAAGGAAAAAAAAAAAAGGGGCCTGGTTCATTATGCAACTTTCAAGCATTTATTCGCTGTTTCTTTTTCTTTTCTTTTTCCCCTTTTTCTTTCTCTGTTTCTATTTTTTTTTTACCCCCAAAAATGTCACATATGCTGGGAAATGGGCCCAGCATCCCTTACGTCATTGGCCATGGTCTTCGGGATGAGCAAGGCACCCCAGCCAAGCAGATCCCTGACCACAGCATCCACTGTCCCGATCCCGAAAATCCAGTCACCTAATTACTCCACAACGCTAATTAGGTTCCACAATTGTCAACAACCCTAGTTAGACCCCTCACTTATCAGAAGAACCCCAGCTCCCCCCGGATCATGACCAAACTATTAACCCAGCCTAGAACTACAAACTTAGTACAAAGTAACAACCGTAATTAACAAAAGGAAAAACCAAGCCTATAACTACAAACTAACAACCGTAAATTCCGTAATTAACAAAAGGAATAACCAAGCCTACGAGCAAATCATCATCAGAAGGAACATCGCTGCCGTTTGCAAGGCAGTCGATCCAAGTGCCTAGCAACACAAGCAGTACATCACTCCCCATGTCGCGGCCCCCAGAGAAACAAGAGCCGAACAGCCGGATGGATCAACATCTTCAAACAAGATTGATTTCCGCCTCCAAAAAGTCTCCAAACAAGGTTTCCTATCTATAGTCAGTGGACGAAGCCCCTGATCAGGTTCCATATTCTGATATCTACATCGCTCAGATCCTCCCCTTCGACCAGCCCACATCTTGCTCCATCCCACCACGGTCGTCCAGGATTACCAACAAGAGTCGGCCAGGACGCGGATGTGGCGGAGGCTTAGTATCGCGTCCTTGAAGCGGCTCCACCCTTGGCGCCCATGCGCCCCAACCTCTCTTCCGCTCCCGCCACCCCCACAACAAGCTCTGGCACAGCGCACCCGCGCTCGTGGTTGCGCCCATGCGATCCCCCGTTGCCTACGCCGTTAGGCGCGTTGCACGCACACAGTATTACCGCTGCTGCTCTAGCGCAACACCCGCAATGGGCTTTTCTAGTGCAGAAAGAACTGATTTGCGTGCTTTTTCGTCCCGAACAAGAATCGAAACTTTGGCAAAATTGGAAGTAGTTGAGGTCAGGAACCCTCACAAACAACCCTGGATATATGGAACCTACAGCTCACGGCTGTTCACAGGGCCTATCAGGGCCTATCTCACAAGGCTGGGCTAGCGCGACGAGCGGCATCAGCTCTTGGCTCAAAAAATCAACCCCAAATTCAGAGCCCTAAATTCGCCAACCCAGACAACCTTCCCTTTGTCCTTTGTATTCTTTCACTCATTCTTTTCCTTTTCCAAAGGGAAGTTGCCCCTGGGTTAGTGCATCGCATTCCATCAACTGAGAAGATTCGAACTCACAACCTGCTCATCGACAGTTACACGTGTACAATTCCAAAGCGTTTTTGCAGGCGAATAAGGGCATACTCAGCCACATGAAGTGCGCGTAAGGGTCTAATGCTTGTTCTTGTTTGCAGATGTGTAAATGGATACTCACACCGTTACTCGTATTTCTACTGAAACTTCACGTAATCTACACACGCACATTTCTTAATGTGTGTGTGTGTGTGTGTGTGTGTGTCATCCTTGTGTCAGGGATGATGCTAAACTTTTTTCTGTACCGTTCTTAAACCACCAGTACATGGCCCCAGGCAACTCGAGAACAACGAGAGGCTCTCTCTGAAAAACTCAGAGGCCCGGGACCAAAATGGCCAGCAGCACCAGCCAAAACAAACCAAAAACAAAGAAAAAGCCGTGCTGGCATTTCGGCAAAGCTTAGCGCTCAGGGGGAAATCCGGCTCGAACAAAAGAGCCTCGGATGTGCTGGTGTGTTTAAGATTCACTAATTAATTATTCATGAATCTTCAGGAGGATTCACTCATTAATTACTCACGAGTCTTCAGAAGGACACCCGCCCTTCATCGTATCTAACTCCTCTCTATTTTATTGTTTCCTCCTTTTTTTTTTTTTTTTTTTGCAAGAACACACCCCTGCAGTGCTAGTGCTGCTGGTAAAAGCAGGCATCACTAGCACCTGGGGAGAGGCTCCATCTACTGATGGGGAGCATCTTCCTTTTCCGGCAAACTAGAATAACGACTTCAAAGACCTGATAAGGAAACCGTCCCTAGAACACACCCTATCTTCTTCTTCTTCTTCTTTTTTTTTTTTTTTTTTTTTTTTTGAGGTCCAGAGTGTAGTAGAGGGTGGTGGCCAGGCCTCAGGAGGTGCCCATAGTACTCATCCATTGGGAGATCAGATGGATAGCGAGGGACCCAGGTGGGGGGAGTCGCCTCAAGATGGCCCCATGGTACCATGACCTATGCTAATGCTCAGATCGCAGGTTATGTGATCTGCGCCAACGCTTACCTGACTAACCCCAACGTCTTCGTGCAGACACTACCCTAACTCTAATGTTAAGGTCGACCCGGGCACCGGTGGGGTCCAATGGTCCATGCATATGCAGTCATCCCCCATGTGTGCCTCATCCTGCAGACTCTATGGGCAGCGAACCGCCCTTCCACTAAGATGCCATATCCCGCCCTTCCACTAAGATGCCATATTCCGCCCTTCCCCTACCCTAAGCATAATGCCTTCCTACCCAAGGCTCCCCAAGAACACCCTTTCTGCCTCCTTGCAATTTTATTCTTTCAGTGCGTTTCCAACGAACTATAATCACAAGAAGACTCTGAAGACCTGAGCACACAGGAAGAGGGAGGGTTAGCAAAGGCAAACCTCAACTTCGTACATCTTCCGCACATTCAATCGTCGCTGTATCTCTGCGCTTGATCACCCAATCTATCATGTCAAAGGCCTCCGCCACATCACTGAATGCCTGGGAGACCACCAACACGGTGCCCTTATCCATGGCCCGTAAGAGTGAGATCACACGATCCCGACCTTCCATGTCCAGGTGCTGCACATTGAACCGATACCGGAAACAAAGGATTCAAACTCCCACGACCCCACACACAAGCAGTAATCACACAGAGAAACTCCCTCCTCCT